GCGCGGGCGGGGATGCGCCTCGCTGCCCGGGGGGCTGGGCGTCCCTGGGGGGAGGCCTCCGGCCCTGAGAGCCGTAGGGACGGACTGTTGCCTTCAGGTAGGCTCACTGGGCTGTCCGCTTCGTTCCTGATGGGCATAAGAGCGGGGAGGGCAGCAGGGACAAGCACAAAAGGTATCCCTGCGGTCATCTTGCCCCTGTCATGGGCCTGAGTCACTTAATTCCCTCGTTGTCACCCTTGTTTGTGCCACCTGGGATGCCTTGAAGTCTTTCTTGCTCATTAGCTGTGAGCAATGTATACCAGAATCACAGAATCGGTTAGGTTGGAAGAGATCTCTGGGATCATCGAGTCCAACCTTTGCCCTAACAGCACCATGTCAGCTAGACCATGGCACTAAGTGCCACATCCAGGCTTTTCTTAAGCACCTCCAGGGATGGTGACTCCACCACCTCCCTGGGCAGCCCATTCTGATGCCTAATGACTCTTTCTGTGAAGCAATGCATCCTCATTTCTAGCCTGAACTTCTCCTAGTGCAGTTTCACACTATACTCTCTTGTCCTGTCATTAGTTGTCTGGGAGAAGAGACCAATCCCCACCTCACTACAACCTTCTTTCAGGTAGTTGTAGAGAGTGGGAAGGTCTCCCCTCATCCACCTCTTCTCTAGGCTAAACAACCCCAGTTCCCTCAGCCGTTCCTCATAAGAGTTATCCTCAAGACCCTTCATCTTTATTGCCCTTCTCTGGACACGCTCCAGCACCTCAATGTTTTTCTTGAAGTGTGGGGCCCAGAACTGGACACAGTACTCGAGGTGCGGCCTCAGCAGTGCCGAGTACAGAGGGACAGTCACTTCCCCAGTCCAGTTGGCCACACTATTCCTAATACAAGCTAGGAGGTTTTGCTGTTGAGCTGATATGAGGGCAGCTGTGATGAAGTCCAGGCCTTATCTCCAGATCAGCTGTACTGAGAGCAGTGAAAGCTGTCCTGGTGAAAACAAGGTCTTTATCGAGCTTCCCTTGCATGAGGAAAACTAGATCCCTCTCTAGACTTGTTTATCAGTGGTTGCATCTGTATTTTCAGGAGTGGGTTAAAAGGGAGAAGTATATCACTTTGTGTCTACAAGGCACACAAATAGATGCCAGAGCTTAAAAGATCAGAAAACATTGTTCTTGTGATGCAAGTTTTTGCTTGCTTCTCTCTATTCTTCTTCATGGGTCAGTGGAAAAACTGAAAAGCTCTTTCATCTTTGCTTTTTCATCTTTTCCCCTGCAGTGTGCCCAGCTACTTGCCTCTATGTCTACTCCTGTCTGATTTGGACATAGAGGATGTAAGCAATGTGGTTTTCTTTCTTTCTTGTAGTGGCTTTCAAGTCCACTGCACTTGTTAATGCATTTCTCATTAAAAGTAGTTTATGGAAGTATTTTAACAAAATTTTATGCTTAATGAGAACATCTAAACAGAGAAGATGTAAAAACATCACAGGTGGAAGAATGTACCTATTCATAATTACTAAAGCCGTTCTCATAAAAAAGTTTATCAGAAAGACTTTTTTATTTTGTTCCTCTTGATCTGTAAATCCTCAGTTGCAGTGACAGGTATGAGTGTTTGGAAAATATGATTTCAGTGTTACCATTTACTAACTTTATAGATTGTTCATGTAGGTGAGTATACAGTTGCACCTATTTTTATTTAACTGTGTTTTGAGAGGTGGTAAATAGTATTTGTTTCTAGTAACATATGGAAGTGATTTACGTGTCTGCAAACCATGAGGAGGACTTAGGTGTAGTGGCACAAGACTGTGGTTCTACAAGTGCATTAAGGGGGTGCGTTTCTGACAAGTATCCCTTCTCTTCTGCTACCATTAGTATTCTCGAAGTTGTATGGTAAGTGATTAAAGAACTGATTAGTCTGAGAAACAATCGTGTTGTTTCATCTCCTTTTGTTGACTGTTCCCCCTAGTATTCATGTAGGTACCAAGGGGAGGTCAATAATGTGCCAGTCAAAGCTGAGTGAAATGTGAGACCTCGCTTTAGTGGCAGTGCGCTGGTATGCCAATTTAAAGTGATCATGGAAGCACAGTCTGAGGGTCCTCATCTGCCCTGACAGTCAGAATTTCGAAGCAACGTAGAATTCTGCTTGTCAACTTCAGCAAATGGTATGGGCTATTTTGAACTTGATGTTTCTTCCATGTTTACTTTTTTCCCGAGATAATTCCCATTTTGAATGGCAGAGATAGGAAGGCTTGAAATTATAATGCTATGTAGTTTGTTTGGCTTTACATCCTTCTTGAAGACTGTCGGTAGCCAAGGACACTTCTGGTATTCTTTTTACAGTTTTAGTGGAAAATTGATTTTACACTTAAATACATAGGCAAACAAATAATTTTGTCAGCATGATTCAGTTTTTGCCTTAAGGTGCCTTAACAGTGATGTTAGGAGATTGTGACTTTCCCTTTGGAATATTAGTCTCTTTTCAGCCTGATTTATTCATACTTTTCAGAAAAAGTCATAAAGTGCTCCCTTCCTTACTTCTGGTCGAACTGAATGGTTTGGATTGGGTGAGGTGAGGGACAGCAGAAAAGGAAAGGAACTTGGATGCTGTGCTGGGAAATGAAATTAAATGTCTTCCTATGCAGTCTTCTAGGATACAAAGCAAGACTTTAAAACAAACTTTTCGCAGTTCTCTGTTAACATTGTTTTATTTTTCTGTTACCTCATTTAGAATGATGAATTTTTAACTGCAGAGTGCTGAGTGCTTTCAACTGTAATTATGACTGTTGGAAGATGAATCCTGATGAACATGTAAAGTTGTGTTAAATTCAAGACACTGATAAAACTGGAATGAATTTCTTAAGTTGAAACCCCAAATTAGCTTTTATTTTACATCTTGCTAGTATTCTCATTCACCTGTATTGAATTTCCCAAGAATAATTTTATTTTGAGGGGGGAAAATAACAGATATTTGTAAAGGACACATGCGAGGAACTGACAATGCCAAAGAAGAGAGCGGTGTGGAAATCAAGCAGTCTGTATTCACTGTAGTGATGTGATTGTATTTAATTGACTGTTTGGGAACTCCAAAATATATATCAAGAATAAAAGGAATTACTGAGTAGTTGATCAGTGAAGATAGGGAACGAGGCAGTGGTTGTGGAGGGGGTTGCAGGGGAGGACTTGTAGAACGATTTGTGTAAATACAAGCAGACTGAACTTTTCCTTTTCTGGTAGACAAGTACTGTTGATCTTCTGAAATGTGTTGAATGTATCACTTGATTCTGTGGGTTTTTTTCATTGCCATCTAATATTTTGAGATTTCCCCAACACCGTCCCCCCCGACCCCTGTAAGCTTGCTGGGTATGTGGCAAAATTCAAAACTAAGTAGGTGTCTTGTCAGTGAGGAAGTTACTTATGTTTTATTTCTGGAATGCTCTAGCAAAGGAGAACTTGAAGTTGTTTTCCCAAATGGGAATGAATTAAAGAAGAAATATAGCACATCTTGTAGCCATTGCTGTTGCTGAGGTGATAGAAATATGTTATAAAAAGTAAAATTCAGGTCTTCAGAGTATAATAGTAAATCAGCTTTGTGAAGAGTTTAAGATATGTGGAATAGGAGCCTGTCATTTAGGCTCAGGAGTGGACACTGAGAATATTAAAAAAAATTCTGAAGAGGTATAAGCAATTTTTGGAAATGTTTTTACTGGGAGCTTTTCTTAATCCAAAAACTTTAACAAGCTTTGCTTTTAACGTCCCTAGGAAATTGCAGCTCTCCTTGAGGTACTATGATAGCTGTAAGAAATAATTTATACTCTCACTTATTTTAGTGTAATGCCTTGTTAATTCGTGGTTAATCAGGCTGAATTTGGAACATTATCTATTAGTACAGCTGTGTTGGCTTCTTGCATGCTGTTGACAACTTGGATTATTTGAAAGACTATTTCTGGATTGCAAACTTTGCATAGAAAACTGCCAATTTTTACTTCAATAACTTAAATTTGGGAGCCCAAATACTTTTTGTGAAAACATGGACATACTCTGGAGTTTTGATAAATTTGTGTGTCTTTCAGTGTTTGCTGCTCTGTAGCTTGGAGTGAGAGGTCTGAATCTTTCAGTTAACAAGTAGTGATCTGCTCTACGTATTCTGTACTGAAGGGAAGAGGAAATTCATTCATTAGCTGCTCGAATGCTCAGTTTGTGGTGCTCTAATATTTGCAGTAGAAAAGTGTGAGCATGACTGCTTATTTTGAAGATTTCTGTGTGATGTCTTCCTTATTGGTTGTCTTTCTTGTCTTCTCAGTTTAATTCCTTTTTACTACTTTCTTATTGGCAAATAAGTTTACCTCTTATAGCTAAGAATATACATCCTATGTTGCTTTCTATTTCTGTTTTCCGTGTTTGGAGAGTACTTTCATTTATATAGTGAGTGTAGTTGTTCCCCTCCACCTTAAGCAGAGCAGGACTGCTGGAAAGCCTATGTGAAATGGTATGGAGTAGAGGTGGTGATCTGAGCATTTGTGTTACGTAGTACAAATTGACATAAAAAGTTTTTCTTCAGATGTTCTTTGTTTTTCTTGAACTTGTATTAGCATAATATGTTATGTATTAGCATAATATGTTGAACACCAATTGCTTCAACTTCTGGGTGTTGCAAATCAATCTGGCATTCATTTGGCATAAAAAGAATGATTTTTAATATCTTACAGGAGAACATAATCGGAAGTCGATGTCTTTTGTTACTACCCAAAGATCAAGGCAAAGCTGAATCGATAGGCAATCTGTAGGATGTTTTGTTTATTACATCTTGGCGCTTAAAGTATTTGGCTTTATAGCCTATTTTAGCTTATGCAGTTAAATTACTCACTGTGTGAAGCTGTGAGTAATAGAAAATACATAAGGAACTTGTAGGCTAGCAGGCAACTTAAATTTAGTCAGTGAATATATGTATGAATGTTGTATTTAATTTAAAATGTATAACATAGTGTTTGACGATTATTGTTGTAATTGCAGCCAAGAGGCAACAGAAAACATGGTGCATCATTTATCATCACTAGAGCAATTACAGGTAAATATGACTTGTTCTTGTGTTCATGACTCATAAGAATGATGTGTGGATTGCTTGTAAAATTTACAATTTCTGCACTTTAGCATTGCTAGTGTAATGGAAATAGAGTGCAGGATGTGTTTTCAGGAAGGTGTTTTTTGATTATCAATATTGCCATGTTATTTTCATGCCAATTTCGTGAGCTTTCTTGTCTCAATTAGCTTATTGGGACAAACTAATAAACCATACATCTGAGAAGTTTAGAAGCTCTGTTGTGTTTTGCAAAGTGTTGCTGAGTTTTTTTTTTCTCTACCAGGTCTTGCATGGGGCTGTTTGCTGGTTAGACAATTCTATAAAGAAGCTTTACATTCTGATATTATGTTGCCATTCAACATTGGCAATGTTACATTGCTAATTCAGCACTGGGTTTATGCAGTAACGGAATTGCATTTTCACCCAGTAGGAATTTCTCTTAGAATTTCCAGAAATGTATACGGATTTTTTTGATCTGCCATTTGCATTTAGTCTACTATAAGAATGCACTGGCCAAGGATGGCGGGGTTTCCCCTTAATACCTTTTTGTTTTGTGAGAATTTCTGAGACTGTGTGTGCAGGAAGCTGGAGAGTGTTTTAAAAACGCTTGAGATGTAATTTTTACCTCTCTTTCTGTTGTAGGTCCTGCATTGTTTTTGCTTCGGTACATCTGGTACAGGTAGGTTTGATGAAAATAGTGCTTAATCTTTTTATTTGGTAATATTTTTACAGCTTTTTGATTTCATGGGAAGTTATTTTTCATGAGATAAAATTGAACACTTGTTTAGAATATTGTCCAAACAATGCTTAGAATATTGTCTTTTCATAAGTTTAAGTTGTAACCACTTGAATTGCAGCTGAAACTTATCTAGAAAGGAGCTGGTGTACACTAGTTTGACTTTTTGCTTTTATCAGAAGCCTAAGTAAACTTACAGTTGGAACATCTTCTTTCTCAAAACACACATTTGTCCTCCCCACTCCCAACTGTGATATTGCAAGTGAAGCTGCTTTTTCTTCTTAAGCCTCAATGACAGGTATGATGGCATGGCAGGATTTGCTTACTTTGGAGTAATAATTTGGATTTTTTTTCTTGACAATTCAAATTGTCATAGAAAAGATTGGTAACTAGTTGAGCACACTCGTGCCATTTATAAATTTAACTTCTGATTCAAAAGGCACTTAAATGGTCCCAGAAGCATATTGGAGTAAATATAGTGTTCCTGGAGAATTTATAGTTATACTACTCTGTTGATGTACTTGTTAGGTTTGAAGATATCAGTTCTCCCTTTTTAGGGTAATTCTGTTGGTTTTGAGATACACAGAAAGGGACATTAGTGTGGCTCCTTGCTGTTTTCCCTATTGCTGGTGTTCTACTGTATTTTGCGCCCCTCCTCCCCTTATTTTTTGGTAGGCAGTGGTGTTTGTGGGCTCCATACCATCATATGGTAAATCACATGGAAAATAAGGAGGTTAATGGTGATGGTATATATGACTTCGCTAAGGGCAAATCGTGCCTGACAAATTTGGTGGCCGCCTACGACAGGGTTACAGTGTTGGTGGATAAGGGAAGAGCAACTAGTGTGGACTTGTGCAAAGCATTTGACACTGTCCTGCATGACATCCTTGTCTCTAAATTGGGAGACATGTACTTAATGGATGGACCACTCAGGGGGTAAGGAATTGGCTGGGTGGTTGCACTCAGAGTTACAGTCAACGGCTCAATGTCCAAGGGGAGACCGGTGACGACTGGCATTCCTCAGGGGTTGATGTTGGGACCTGAGCTGTTTAACATCTTTGTCAGCGACATGGACAGTGGGATTGAGGGCACCCTCAGCAAGTTTGCTGACTACACCAAGCTGTGTGGTGCGGTCGACATGGTGGAGGGAAGGGATGCCATCCAGAGGGACCTGGACAGGCTTGAGGAGTGGGCCCACGTGAACCTCAAGAAGGTCCTGCACATGGGTCGGGGCAATCCCAAGCACAAACACAGGCTGGGCAGAGAATGGATTGAGGGCAGCCCTGAGGAGAAGGACTTGGGGGTGTTAGTTGACGAGAAGCTCAACATGACCCAAAATTGTGCACTTGCAGCCCAGAAAGCCAACCATATCCTGGGTTGCATCAAAACCAGCGTGGCCAGTAGGTTGAGGGAGGGGATTCTCCCCCTCTACTCCACTCGCATGAGACTCCAACTGCAATACTGCCTTCAGCTCTGGGGACCCCAACACAAGAAGGACGGGGAACTGTTGGAGCGAGTCCAGAGTAAGCTACAAAGATGATGAGAGGGCTGGAGCACCTCTCCTCTGAAAACAGGCTGAGAGAGTTGGGGTTGTTCAGCCTGGAGAAGAGAAGGCTCTGGGGACACCTTATAGCAACCTTCCAGTATCTAAAGGGGACCTACAAGAAAGCTGGGGAGGGACTTTTTACAAGGACATTTCGTGCTAGGACAAGGGACAATGGCTTAAAAATGGAAGAGGGAAGATTTAGATTAGGTATAAGGAAGAAATTCTTCACTATGAGGGTGATGAGGCACTGGAAGAGGTTGCCCAGAGAAGCTGTGGATGCCCCATCCCTGGAAATGTTCAAGGCCAGGTTGGATGGGGCTTTGAGCAACCTGGTCTGGTGGAAGATATCCCTGCCAATGGTAGGGGGATTGAAACTTGAAGATCTTTAAGGTCCCTTCCATCCTAAACCATTCTATGATTCTGTGATATAAGTCTAGTTGTAAGGATTCAGTTGCAGACAGAATTAACTTATTTTTCTTCCCTCCCTCCCTCCCAGTAGCCATATTTAAAGTTTGATTTCTAGCTTTTATAATTGATTCTACTTGCTATTTTTATGTATTTAAGAAAAGTGTTTGAGAGGGAGCTCAGTAGGCCTCTAGATTAAAGTCCTGCTAAAAGCAGGGAGAACACTGGATTCAGACTAGGTCCCTTAGGGCTCTATCCAGCTAGGTCTTGAAAAACTTAGAGGGCGGAGATCCCAAAGACTCTCTGGGCAGCCTTTTCCAGTGCCTGACTGTGTTCGTGGTGAACAATTCCTTATGTCAGCTTGGAACTTCCTCTGTTTTAGAATCATAGAATCATCTGGATTGGAAAGGATCTTTAAGATCATCAAGTCCTACCATTAATGTAACACTGCCAAGTCCACCAAAGGGTTGATCACAGTTTCTTGTGCTCCTGCCATGCACCTCAGTGACTCCCATCTTTGTGGTAACCTCCTAGGTATCAGAGAGCTGCTGTTTTTTCCCCCTGAAGCTGTCCCTTCTCCAGGCTAAACAATTTCCTCAGCAACTCTTTGTAGGGCAAGTGCTTAGTCCCCTGACCATCTTGGTGGCCCTCCAGTTTATTGGTATTCTTGTAATGGGGAGGACCAAAACTGGCTGCTGACCAGAGTATGAAGAGTGGTGAGTAAATAATCAGTTCCCTTAATATGTGGTTTTGTTCTGTTAATACAAGCAAGGATGTTGTTAGCCTTCATCGTTGGCAGAGTGCAGTGTTGATTCATGTTCAGTTGCGAAAACCTCCTAGGTGATTGATGGTTGCCTTAAAGCTAAGTCATCTGGTGTGTGTGTCTCAGGTACTGCTTTTGTTAGGTGTGTGTTCTGATTTAACCTAATGTTTTTGTTATTTCAGCCCTGCGAAGTTTTCTCTGCCCACTGGACTGGTTCGTCTGGTTAATAAGCAGATCAACTGGCACCTAGTACTTGCAAGGTAACCAGCTTACATGCTTTTCCATTTTTGAAGACAGTAAATGTGTTAATGCTTCTTCTCTTCCCCCCGCCATCCCCATTGATAACAGTGCTGAATTAATATTGTGCTAAAGTCATATTATTCTTTTTGCTCAGGAGAAATACTGGAGACTTTCACAGGTAGCCTTGGGAAAGAAAGATCAGCCTGCTACTTAGGGGCTTCCACGCTGCTTCCCTTTGTTTAATACATCTCTCAGTCAGGTCTGAATGTCTTCTAGCTTTTCAGGCGACGTGGCTCGCAGTGCAGTCATTCTCAAACTCATGTCCTGAATTTGATCAGTTAAAGTCCTATAACTTGACGTGGTATGTAATTGCTTATTTTAAAATTTGTGGAAAGTGAATGCATATCCTCGAGACTTGTCTGCTATTGTATCTATAGAGGAGAAGTGAGAGTTTCAAGGCTGGAAACAGCTGTTCTGCAGTAATTTTCACAGCATCAGTGAGATCACTGGCTTTTAAACATGATCATAAGTATGTACAGACAAATGATTCAATGACAAGAAGGTAGTATAGAATGTTTTAATTTATTATGTGTTACCGTTGAATATGATCAGTGGTTCAGCAAGAACTCTCTACTGTTGAGAGAGATGGTACTTCTTTGAGGGAAATGACTGATCCTTTTTGATGCACAACATGCCAGTGGCAATGTTTTATGTGAGGTACAAAGACAAGAGATTTGCTCTTAAGGAGGCAATGTAACTTACAGAAGTATGATAGTTGTTTGTTCCAGATAAACCAATGCATAGTTTTAGGTATTATTACTATTATAAAATTATCCATAAGCAACATCTGGTTTGACCTTCCCTGCAGCAAGATTTTAGACATTGTTTCTGTTTTCTTAGTGCTACTAGAAAAGAGTAACAGATACATTTCAGTGACATGAAGCAAATCTTATTATAGCACTGATTTTTCTTTTTGGTATAAAAATTGATATTTCCCAATTTGTTTTGACTTATGAAGGAGGAAATTTGTATCTGACCTTGCAGAAAAGCACCTAGAGCTCTGATGCACATTCTGTAAAGACTGGACTTTAAATGAACTTTCACATGTTTATTTTTCTCTTTCAGTAATGGTAAATTGTTGGCAGTTGTTCAAGACCAATGTGTAGAAATCAGGTAACTTAGTATTATCTATAGCTTCATGACCACAGTTGCAGAGTTCTGAGAAAGTGTTTCTTGTAATTTACTAACCGTAATTTTAAAGATTTTTCTGTTTTTTTTGGGGGGAATATTATGTGTTGTGAAAGTAATCTATGGAAGAATCTATAGAATCATCACTTAGAAAGCAGAGGCCTTCTATTTCTTCTTAGTTCTTGGCCATTCCCCATTTAAAAAAAAACAAACTACGCCCCCTCCCCCCCGCCAATTATAAATGTTACAGAGAAGTTTATGTAAGTATTCATTTTTTATCTCTCTCTTTCTTTTTTCAAGATGTGAAAGAAAAACAATCAAGATGCTTCAAAATGCTAAACTCAAATCATGGCCTTTCTAACCTTTGCCTTTCTGTTCTCCCCTAGCAATTGTCTCCTAATAAATGGGACAAGGAGCTAATATTCTGTTTCTCTGTAGAGTAGCTGGCATGTATAATACTTCACCTTATTTTACAAGTAATGTGGGTGTCGTAAAGACTGATGCTTTCCCTTTTTCTTCTGCTCTCTAACAACAAGCTATCCTTTGCCAGTTCAAGAACACATTTAGCTGTAGAACGAATCTTGATTGAGTGTGTTTACTTGCTTCACAAAAATCCATTTGCTAGAAGGTCAGACCTTCTATTTATATGTAAAAGAAGCAAGCGTATGAAAATTGTTCAATCAGAAGTTGTATGAACACCATAAATGTCAGCTTATAGTCTATAAAATAAATCTTCTGTTTCAACTGTATTAATGTAACTATATTCTTGCATTGTTCCTAAAATTGTAACCTAGAGAATACTGACTATTTTTTTCTGAAGTTACATGCTGAAGTTCTGAAATGCTGCTATCCTGTTTTGAACACCATTACTAATAAATGAGGGTTATTAGTATTTTTGCATTGAGAGGAAGATTTCTAAAATACTATTGTTAGTTACTGTAGCTGCCTAAGGGTGAAGGCACTATCTGCCTTTTTGAACAAGTAGTTAAATACATGCAGGCCTTTGAATTGTACACTTAGAGTATTTTTATAGCGTTTTGTTTATTCTGGAAAATTGAATAGTGATTTTTTTCTTATTTAAATCCATATGAGTCTTTTTCTGCAGGTCTGCAAAAGATGACTTTGTATCCATAGTTGGAAAATGTCAAGGTATACAATATGGCAACCTCTACATCATTTGTCAGTGTCATCATTGTTTATTATTCATCCATTGCTAAGTGGTGGTGTTGGCTACTTTAAAGATAATGTTGTAACCTCTTAAAAGCATTGGGAAGAATCTCTTGATAATTTTGCTTTGTGACTAGCTCTGTTATACTCCCTCCCCCTCTTCCTTTCATGATGATTAACATATAAAACCTGAATCTGAAATGAAATGATAGTTAAAATTAATGGGTTTGGGAGACATAATGGGTGTTGGAGGTGGTGGCTTTTTTTTTTCTCCTCCAAGATAAGTTTGTAATGATGGCAGGCACCCTGCATTTTTTGAAGCAGTTGACTTTTTATTATACTTAAGGGGTTATATTTATATCTCATGTTTTAATAACTTTCTTCCTTTTTCATAGTGCCAAAGGACCCTAATCCTCAGTGGAGGCGAGTGGCATGGAGTCATGATTGTACGTTACTTGCTTATGCTGAAAGCACTGGAACAGTGAGAGTGTTTGATCTAATGGGTAGTGAGCTTTTGGTCATTTCACCGGTAAGTGCTCTCTTAGATAAAATACGAATATAGTAGAACTTTCTGTAAGGATAAACGGTAATTTCCACTCTATGGCCTTTTTTTAATCATGGCTTACTTTGGTGTAAAGGCTTACAGTGTGAATACCATGCAGAAAGGTACCATGAAGTGTTTATCATGTGATGGATATGTTATAGTTAAACCGAAATCACGTGTAGCACTTGCAAAGGATATCCTTTGTGCTATTGTATCTAGTCAGAATCTTCATCTTTCTTTTCTTTTTCTTAGAATTGTGGTAGATCTGCGGGTACATCAGATTGTGAAAGTATAGAATCACCTAATCAGTATGTGTGCCAATAATTACAATTTGTACTAGTAGATTACAAATCCACTTAATATGCAGTCATTTATAAATCAAGAAATATTGCTGATAGAACAATATGAGGATTTTTTTTTTCTTGGTATGAGAATATGTAATAACTGTTGGCTTGCCCCAGACAATGTATTTTATATTTGATCTATTCAAAAGTTGTATTAAACTAATTTGGGAAGGTGGCTAAGGTGTATTTCCTTAGTATATTGTCTTTGCAGACTTTATAGTAATAAGGTTTCTCTAAAATCAAGATAAAAGGAAGTATATTTTGTTACTAATACAAACTATGAAACTTTATTTTTAATACATTTTTGTACAATATAGTAACTCCTCCTTCTTTCAATAACAAAGATACTTTTTCTTTAAATCTCCTTTCTCTCTCAATGTCTGGCTGCACTTTTGGGTAAAGACAGCAAGTTTTCCAGGAGATCTGAGTTATGCTATTGCTGGATTGATCTTTCTAGAATACAAAGCAAGTGCCCAATGGTCAGCCGAACTGCTTGTTGTTAATTATCGTGGAGAACTGAGAAGTTACCTTGTAAGGTAAGGATAAATTTTGACTTGCTTTGAGAAGGCATGGTGAACTTTAAAGGAATTATTTCCACTCTTTAAAGAAAATAGATCTGAAATAATATATGTATTTTTTTCCCCGTGCTTAGTGTCGGAACAAATCAAAGCTTTCAAGAAAGTCATAGTTTCAGCTTTAGCAGCCATTATGTCCATGGAATAACTACTGTCATTTATCATCCTGGTCACAGGTAAATGTTCTGTTTGCTACCTGCGAATAATGTGGAAGTGATGAACAAAAGTGAAAGATGAAACATTGAAGTGTGTTGGATAAGGAGCGGGAGAAAAAAAAAAATCTATTTTAATATTGGTGTTTAGTGAATCAACAATAACAAGTCATGTATCATTGTACCTATGAAAGAAGCCCTAGTTGGTGATCTCACTTAACTTGATTTTCATTCTTCTATTAGTAATGTCCTCTATTGTTTGAGTACCTGGCATAAGCAGCATTTTTTAGAATGTCAGGAATAGGTTCAAAAGAAGTTTCTGAATTTGTTGGGGGGTAAAGGCTGATGTATGAGGTAGGTTGGTTGGGTTTTTTCTGTCTGGATTTCATTGCTAGACTTTTTGGCCAGCCCATTTTCCCTAGTGTTCTGACTGGAACTGCCAGGCTTTGGTATTTGGAATTGTCTTGTGTTGTGTTTTCTCTAATAGTGATGTGTTGGGTACAGATACCACACTTGAAACGCAGACTGATTGACTGCCCGCTCTTGACCAGATGTAGTTTGAATAGGTTCTGATTAGCCAATTACTTATGTTAAAAATCATAGAATGGTTTAGCTGGAATGTGCCTGCCTTTTTAGTATCTACTTGTTATATAGCAAGGTAAACTCAGCAACTTATTTTTCTGTTTTTCTTCAGTTGTAGGAACTAAACTTCCTTCTAGATATTTTTCTTCTGTTAGATCTATTAGGATTGAATTTGTCAGCACAATATGTTATATCACTGTATTGTTTTAAATGGAAATTAGGTTTGGCTGTAGAATACCAGAAGAAACTTGCTATTTAAAAATTTGTTCTCGTTCTTCAATGTTAGGTGAGCTGTCATATCTATCTTAGGAAAAAAATGGTTATTAATGAGAAGTAATGTTCTTCTAGCTTATTACTTTGAGAGATTAATTTTGGGTATCGTTTCTTCTTTCTACCTAGTTCATATCTAGTAATTCCACATAATTTATACTCAGTATACTAAATCCATAGTTTTGAGGTAATAGGTGTGGGTTAGGGAGATTTGGTAGTGCTATCTGACCAGACAACAGAACCTACTCATTCTTTTCTTTGATCAGACCAGTGTTAATGGTTCTTGACGCTTGTTTGCAGAGTTATCTTTTCTGCTGTAACATTAGAAGTAGGTTGATTATAGCAATGAGTGTTGCAAAGAATATTGGTTCGTATTCAAAGTATGGTCAAATAATTATTCTGACGATTATAATAGATGGATGTACTTACTTTTCATTTTTTGTGCATTTCTGTGTAAATCATGTCAGAACTATTGAATTCTTATAATGGGTGAACCCATTAACAAGAAAATACGTAGAAAATCAGCTGGCATAGTTGTCAACCAAGTAGTTTGGGCAACTTCTTGTCATAGAGGTTTAAAAGAGGAGAGGGTAAAAAAAGGCAAAATTTTCAAGTTTTGTTTTTGTTCTTGATTCTCACCTCCAAGAGAAGCAATAGCTTTGGTTTTCCTACTATTCTTGTAAGATCTTAGGTTAACATTTTTAAAACGTGATATTAGTGTGATGTAAAAGAGCAGGAGACAATGCTGATTTTGTGTTTAGAACAGTTTATTCAGAATATTAGTAACTAAAGTTGTCTTTTTATGGAAGCTTGGAGTTGACATATTTTTGTTTGATGTCTATGTTCCATATTTTCTAGTGACAGAAATGCTCTTCCCTTACATGAAAAAAATGTGGTTATATCTGCTGCTGAAGTAAAACATTTGTGTAATGTGTGTGGCATACACATTCAGGAATTACTTGTTTTTACCAGCAAATATTATGACTCATTCCATGAAAACAAAAAGTCAGGTGGAGTCCCCTGTGATCATAGCATCTCCTGCTATGTGCAGCCAGTTGACATGCTTAGTGAAGTTGAAAAATCCATACCTGAAAGATTGCACAATTGGATGGAATGGATGGAAAGCAGAAAGATCTGATGTTTTGCCTTTCCTGTAGGCAAGTCTTTTCTTTTCTATTTTGAATTTAGTCTGTGGTAGAAAACTTCTAAATTTGACATTAGAGAACTCTAAATTCATGAGCAGAGTCTTTTGCTGAAATTGTCTTGTTATCCAAAAAAAACCAAAAAACCCAGAAGAAGTTGAAGGGAGGCAGTTTTCTTAAATTGTGCATTAAAGAAAATTGTAGATACATATGAACACTTTGAAGTTTTAATTTTCAATAGTGTGAACTTTGATCACTCAATGTAAGTTCAACTTTGTCACTTCATGCTTTCTTGAATTTCAGTTAGTTTCAGATGGTGAAGTTATACTGGTCTATCTCCACTGCTTCTAAACCTTGACTTATGCACTTTATATTACTATGTATTTGCTCATTACCTGTTACAGTGCAATAAAATAGCACTTAAGAACTTAATATACTTAATTTTTTGAACTCGATGTATGATAGTTGCAAAGAGACTATGTCAGTAGGGAATGTGTCTGAAACTGTAGGAAAACTTGAAACAATAGCTTTGGGAAAAAGTCTAATAACGAGTTTCATTGCCATTAAAAAGTGTTATATACCTTAATTTAGATGCCTAATGTTGGTGTTCTCATATGATCCAGCCTTCATCTGTGATGGAATTTATGGTGCACTTTAGTTGACAAAACTTAAATGTCTACTTTGGTGTGAGCTCTTTGTAGGCTGTAATGGGAGGTTCAAGACCTGCTTGTTTTGACTTAGGTTAATCTGAAGCTGAATGTCTTACTTCAGGGTTATCTGCAACTACTACAGAAAATGCATGATACTAGAGCCCAGAATTTGTGATGACTGTAGGAAATGAAAAGTTTTAGATTCAGTTGGAATTTGCTTGTTGTACCAAAATTGATATGTGAAGAGTTGCATAGAAGTCTCAGGTTATTCTTGCATGCCTCAGTTGAACTTGCTGGTTTTGAGACCAGTTTTATACTAGTTATAATAGAATCATAGAATGGTTTAGTTGGGAGCGATCTTAAAGATCTAGTTCCAACCCCCCTACCGTGGGCAGGGACACCTTCCACCAGACCAGGTTGCTCAAAGCCCCATCCAACCTGGCCTTGAACACTTCCAGGGATGGGGCGTCCACAGCTTCTCTGGGCAACCTGTTCCTGTGCCTCACCACCCTCGTGGTGAAGAATTTCTCTCTTATATCTTCCCACTTATCTGAATCTTCCCTCTTCCAGTTTACAGCCATTGCCCCTTGTCCTATTACTATATGCCCTTGTAAAAAGTCCCTCCCCAGCTTTCTTGTAGGCCCCCTTTAGGTACTGGAAGGCTGCTCTAAGGTGTCCCCAGAGCCTGCCCTTCTCCAGGCTGAACAACCCCAACTCTCTCAGCCTGTCTTCATAGGAGAGGTGCTTCAGCCCTCGGATCATCTTTGTGGCCCTCCTCTGGACTTTGTTCAATAGGTCCATGTTATCTTCAGCCCAATTCTATAGAGAGCTTTGAAATAGAGTACAGTTGAGGTACTGCAAAGGCAGCTTTTTTGAGACTGGGGGAACCTCTGGAGATCATCTAATCTATTCCCCTTCACGACAGGGTCAACAAGAGCAGGTTGCTTGGAGCCATGTCCCTGCAGTCTAAGACCTGCACATCTGTATCATCCCTTAGGAGCGTAATCTGTGCCAAGGCCTCTGATATGCTGGGGTAGCTGCTCCAGTGGATGGTGGGAACTGAGCCTGGTGGTGCATCACCACAACTGCTGAGAACAAGTAGAGAGAGAGTTTCTGGCCATCATTTTCTGCAAACTGCTGCATAAAATGCTACATCCATTGGCTGTGCTTTAGGCCTGGTGCTTACATATGTCTTTTTCTAGGACTTGTTGAAAGTGTTCCTGACCCTTACTAATCAGGGGTGAGCTGGAACAAAAGCTCAAAGCACCTTTTGATCAGAAACAGCTGGCAGATCTTGTTAAAGGCTTCTAGAGCTTGCTACCTAGTTCTTCCTGACAATGGCAGGCGTTGTGAATTTCCTCAAAGGCTTCCCAGAAGTCCTCTGCTGATCCCAGAAGTATGTAGAAGATTAAGAGGGTGTAGAAATGGAGCCCAGAAACTGCTGTGCAAACTGCTGCATACTAGTTCTGCTCCATAAAGAAAACACATGCAAGAATAAAAATTATTTTAGCACTTTTAAGTACTAAAGGATGTTGCATTGATCTTGATCTCCATAACAACATGATAGATAAAACTTTCCCGTCTAGGGAGTTACTATTAAATGTCATATATTAAGTTAACTTTGCTCTGTGACCCATCCAGAGTGGTGTAAAACTACAGCTGATAGAGTTAGGCTGAGAGAGTTAGGGTTGTTCAGCCTGGAGAAGAGAAGGCTTCAAGGTGACCTCATTGTGGCCTTCCAATATCTGAAGGGGGCCTATATGAGAGATGGGGACAGACTTTTTAGCAAGGTCTGCTGTGTCAGGACAAGGGGTAATGGTTTTAAACTAAAAGAGGGTAGATTTATATTTGACATAAGGAAAAAATTTTTTACAATGAGGATGGTGAAGCACTGGAACAGGTTGCCCAGAGAGGTGGTAGAAGCCCCATCCCTGGAGGCATTCAAGGTCAGCCTGGATGGGGCTCTGAGAAACCTTATCTAGTTGGAGATGTCCCTGCTCATTAAGGGAGGGTTGGACTAGATGACCTCTAAAGGTCCCTTCCAGCCCAAATGATTCTATGATTCTATAGTGTGATTTAAGAACCCAAGAGTTTGGCCAGGAAAAGTAGCTTTTCACATTACTGGAACAAAAAAGTTGTTGGCATGGTATCTGCTTCTTCAGACTGAGGCTGACTAACTTAAAAAAAAAAAAAAAAAAAAAAAAAAAAAAAAAA